TTCGGAAACTAAGCCGTTTAGGACACATGTTTATATGGACTTTTTTATATAAAATAAACCAAAGAATCGCGGCTCTGTTGAGTATGGCAACATACTTAACTAACACCCTGTATATCAGGAATGTCAATTCAAACCGAATTTGCTTTACATTTTTCACGACATTTTGATCGAATAACAATATTGCGATTTAATACGCCTCAACGGAATGACGAGACCTCCAAAGATCACGCAACGATCCTTGCGTTCATATCTTGATTTTGTGAGTAGTTATTAATAAAAACGTCCTCGCGCGTCGCCCTACAAAGTGTTATTGCGCCGTTTCTTTCCGTGCAGCGAGTGTCCCACGATCTGCGGTTAATCGCTTGATCTCTCAGCTAAGATAGCAGTTCGCTACTGAGATGGCTGTCTCGCGATTTCAGACTCGCTAATTAAATCATCTGATGATTATTACGCTTCGTCATTTTACTGCCGCCGCGCCGAGAGAGGAAAGTCACGTCGATCGTGAAGGCTTTTATTTGATGCAAACTGTTCTCGGGTGAAATTTTATTTCAATTCGTTTAGAAAATAAGAGAGAGAGGGGGGGGAGAGGAGAGGAGAGGGGGAGGAAGCATTTTCTAAATCTATCCTTGTTCAACCTAATATAGCTAATAACATTTTCCATCTTCGTAGAACCGAGAGACGCACCTATTTGGTATCGCACACCGATCGTGATCCCATGTTGCATGACGAAAGTCATTATCTTAATACCTTCGGAACCACCGCGAGTCGAAGATGTGGTCGGGAATCGATGCGATTTGGTAAAACATCCCTGGCAAGCAAAATGAGAAAAAATAGAATTTATTTCCGCAGAATTATAGAACTTTAGTAAAACTCGAATCTTCCGTCGTTGACACTGACTCTTCTACTTCATAATTTTACGCGTTTCAAATTTTCGAAAATCGAATTATATACCTAGATAATAGGTATGTATGCACATACGTTGTGATTCTTTAGGCCGACGTGATCGATTCGTGCACAGGAATGAAAGAAAGGAATAAGGTGTCTGAAACGGTATCAACTCGATCGAATGATACGGTTCGGAAAAAAAGAACGTTAAAGACGTGACAATGTACCGTGACGATCGTTCGATTATCAATTTCCGCATGCCGTCGCGTAATGTCGCGTTATGTCCTCACTCGAGTAGCACGTTTCGTTGTACTACACGTACACGTAATTATACGCATACCGTACGCGATGCGCACTGTAAACAGCTTCCCGCTATTTACAATTATAAAGAGTGCTCGTCCAACCAATTTTTCTTCCTTTTCTTCGAGTCTGCGCTTGGCCAATACGGTGCATCATATCGCGTTCCGTTATCACGGTATGCACGTATGATAATCTATAACTGTAGATATCGGTCAATAATAAAGCCCAGCAGATTCGAATGGTAGATGAATGATCGTTCAAATGGATTCCCCGTCTTTGCTGTGGATCGTTCAGTTGTACGTACATTATACGTTTGACGTGACACTTGCGCGGCGGCTGTCTATGATTGTTACTCTTAATGCAAGAGCCAAAGAAGCAGAGAAGGCGAAAGGCGAGAGGCAATTTAAGAGGAGACGAGGAAGCGAAGCTTGGCCTCTAACTCCGTTTAGAGATCGTTGAAAGAGTTTCACGTATACAAACACACATACATTATGACTTTCTTTTTGCGCGGGTATCAAGTCGGTACTGCACACGATATCCGACAGACTTTTTCCCACGTCAAGTTTGACATCCGAGATGATAATTCCGATTGATTCCTCGGCTTCCTCTCTTGTCAAACAGCTCGCTCCGATCATTGGCAATCGTTGATCAACCGAGTTCGAACTCAGCCGCTGTACATAGCTAGGTGTGCTCGCGATAACGAGCGAACGCTTTAGGATGACGGAAAAATGAGAAAAAGACAATCGTTATAATTTAAATTTAAAGTGTAAAATGTATCGAAAATTATTCGATGAGAATAATCGATTGCGACTCGCGATCGCGCGAGTGAAAATTGCCGAACGGCATATGACACGTCCGCATCAAGGTCCGCATGTCATGAGCCAACAAGCTTCCAAAATGTCAACTCACGGCGAGTCCGAAGAGTTAGAAAAGCTTAGTAAAATCGCGGGATCGCGTCGTGTTCAACATTCGGATTTATCGCGTTTAGAGCTCTTGATACGTCCTGCGACTCAGGAAATTTTCGGGAATGTGAAATTGGAACAACTCTAGTACTTGCAGCCATACATGCAGTTACTTTATACGCGCACTCGCATTTGAAGAACTTGCTTTCAATATGTATACGTAGAGGAAAGGGTCCTATTATGAGATACCGAGTTCGTTTTGGGTAAATGCTAGAAGTCTATAGCCAAAATTTCAAAAGACAATAAATCAGTTTGAAGGGAATTTTAATAAACTTTAAGATAACGTTACATAAAATTTAATTTAAATTCCATTTTTTTTTTAAATTAAAGAGATGTAAAGAGTGAACAAATCGCAAAGTCAAAAAATTGTGCTCCTTATATGAGATGCCCCGAGAAACCGAGTAAAACGCAAAGTATATCAGTATTGCAATTAAAAAACTTTATTTAATGTTTCTGAAATATAAACAAACACAGCCAGCGTGCGCGAAAAATGAGCGTACGATAGATTATATCCAGAACTCGTTTTCAAGTAGTTGGAATCAAGCATCGCAGATATAGGCACTCGACGTTCATTCCGGTTGTCTTTTTTATTATTGTACAATCACATTTATACTTTAGCAACTTTTTCATTCTAACGTAGGTGCAGGGGTTATTTCATATTAGAAATACCCCGGATATCTCATATTACGATTTTTACGTTTTATGGCTTAACGATCATCAAATCTAACTTCTGTAATTAAACAATTCAACATATCCCGTATTTTTCTATTAATACGACCTTACTCTATCACTACATGAAGAATTGATTGCCAAATATTTATTTATTAAATAATAAACAAGGTTTAAATGCTCATCTCAACTGAA